CCTGGGTAGAGTGCCATGGCATCACAGCTCACAGCAACCTCCAACTCCTGGGCTTAAGTGATTCTCTTGCTTCAGCCTCCCAAGTAGCTGGGACTACAGTTGCCTGTCACAATGCCTGGCTAATTTTTTTTGGTTGTAGTTGTCATTGTTGTTTGGCAGGCCTGGGCTGGATTTGAACCCGCCAGCTCTGGTGTATGTGGCTGGCACCTTAGCCATTTGAGCTACAGGCACTGAGCCATGTGTTACCTCTTAAAAACATGAATTAAATATGCAAAACAAACTCCCCTCATCTCTCCTGGGCTCCTTTGGGGGACTAACCATCTTTCAGGGACCAGCCAAGCACCTTGATTGGCTCCAGTGGGGGCAGGTTGCATCTCAGCCAGAGCCTCAGTGTCCCACCAGGGTTAACCTCAGGCAGGCTGGCTTCTCCTCTGCTACTCAGGTACATTTTTTCCTTGTGCTTGCTGCTGGTTTCAGGGTCCCCTGTGCCAGGGGTAACGCTGCAGGAGACTGGGCCCCCAGTCTGTTCACTCTGCCTTATATACTTTCTCCTTGGACACCTCCACTGCCATCACGACTCCAAGGATACTGAAAGGGAGCCAACCTCCTGGCTGCTCCTCTGGTCCATCCTTCTCGTATGTCAGCCCCAGTGAACTTCCTAAAATGTGAATCTGATTATTTCATGCCTCTGTTTCAATCTTCCTGCAGCTCAAAAGCATTGGTATTCTGCCCAGATCCCCCTCGGACCACCTTTTTCCATTTTTGCGCATCACACCCTCCTCTGTGCTTCCAAGGCAGACACTCACATCCCTTGGCCTCCTTGGTTCCACTTGGAGCTGCTCTTCTTGGGCAGCAATAACCAGTCACTGAGCCATGTATGGGTGGTAGTGGTGGGGGTAGCAAAAGCCTGGCTCCCCTGGCCCAGGCAGGGACTGCTCTGAGGCCTTACACTCAGCAAGAGCACAAGGGTGCTCTTGTTGGCTTCATACCCCTCCCTGGTCACCTCTGGGAACACTTAATAAATCACTCAGGGTCTAAGGTGACTCTCTGGGTAGAAACTTATTGCCCACATTTTCAACCTCAGCCATAAGTCTTTTTTTTTTTTTTTTTTTTTTTGAGACAGAGCCTCAAGCTGTCCCCCTGGGTAGAGTGCTGTGGCATTACAGCTCACAGCAACCTCCAACTCCTGGGCTCAAGCGAGTCTCTTGCCTCCGCCTCCCAAGTAGCTGGGACCACAGGCGCTCGCCACAACGCCCGGCTATTTTTTGGTTGCAGCCGTCGTTGTTGTTTGGTGGGTCCGGGCTGGGAATTCGAACCCGCCACCTTAGGTGTACCGTGGCTGGCGCCTTAGCCGGTTGAGCTATAGGCGCCGAGCCTCAGCCATAAGTCTTTACTTCTTTCTCTCTGTTAATCTATCCCATATCAGGTCTACATTTAAGCCACACTAAAATTTTAGTTATTCTGCCATTTTTGTGTCTTAATAGTTGCCTTTTTTTTTTTTTTTTTGCAGTTTTTGGCTGGGGCTGAGTTTGAATCCACCACCTCTGGCATATGGGACTAGTGCCCTACCCCTTTGAGCCATAGGTGCCACCCAGGAGTTGCCTTTTTTTATTTGTAGAGACAGAGTGTCACTTTATGGCCCTCAGTAGAGGGCCATGGTATCACACAGCTCACAGCAACCTCCATTTCCTGGGCTTAAGCAATTCTCTTGCCTCAGCCTCCCGAGTAGCTGGGACGACAGGTGCCCGCCACAACACCCGGCTATTTTTTTTGTTGCAGTTTGGCCGGGGCTGGGTTTGAACCTGCCACCCTCAGTATATGGGGCCAGCGCCCTACCGACTGAGCCACAGGTGCTGCCTGCCTCTTTTTTTTTTTAAATTAAACTTTCCCCCTGCCCATCCTTTAAGTCTCTGGTTGGTGTCCCTCCCCTAGTTCTCCAACAGTGCTACTTCCCTCCTCCTGTATTCTCAGGGCACTCTGGATGAGCCTCACTATTGCACCATCTCACCAAATTTAACTAGTTTTCCTTGGTGTCTAGCATGGTGCTGGGCAGAGAGTAGGTGTAAAATAAAAATAATTTTAAATAAATATTAATTCCCCAAATATGCTATGACTCTAGGCTTTTCAGACACTGAATTTCTTCCATCTTCAATCAAAAGGGACTCTTATATTTCCTTCCCCTGGAGCTCTGTGTTCTGTTGTTGATGTTTCTCAGATTACTGAAACCTTGTCAGAGTGAAACAGGGTGGTGTGTTGTAAAGGACAGTCTCTTCTGAACAAGCAAGGCAGATGTAAAAGACTTGTACAATCAGTTCTGCAGAAAGCAGTTCAGATGGTGCCACTAAGAGAGGAAGGATGACAGTGTGTTCGTGCAATACCTACTCCTGAGTCCATTGTTTGGATTCGGGCAGTAGCTTTGCCGCAAATTCCAGGAAATCGTAAACAAGGAGTCTCCCCTTGCTGGGTTGGTCCTCATTCAGAGATCAGGCCTGGCTGGAAGGTAGCAAGTGGCCTTGAAGAGATGATGGAATGAGGAGTGGGAAAGCAGTGAGAGAGTGGGTGCCTGCTTTGGTTGTGGAGTGACCTCGCTCCCCAGTTGGGGCATAGGAAACAACTTTGCAGGGAAGAGTAGGAACAGGTCTGGAGGAAAAGAGCCTTATTCTGGGGCAAAGGCCTTTATGAACTTATCTATTTATATACATCTTTGAGTCTTTTTCTCAAGTATTCTGCACTTTGTTAAGCACAGAATCAGCTCTCAAAAACATGCTGAAGGCCCAGTATTGTGCTCACACCTGTAACCCTGGCACTCTGGGAGGTGGGAGGATTTCTTGAGGCCAGGAGTTAAGACCAGTCTGAGCAAGGGCAAGACCTTGTGTTGACAAAAAAAAAAAAAAAAAAAAAAAGAAAGAAAGAAAGAAAGAGAGAGAGAAAAAGAAAGGAGAGAGAGAAAAGGGAAAAAGAAAAATTACCCAAGTGTTGTGGCACATGCCAGCAGTTTCAGCTATTCAGGAGGCTGAGGCAGGAGGATTGGTTGTGCCCAAGAGTTTGAGGTTGCTGTGAACTATGATGATGCCACTGTACTCTAGCCTGGGCAATAGACTGACACTCTGTCTTGGGAAGAAAAAACATACTAAAGGATAAATGAAACCTTTATTAGCCCCCAGAACATTTTCCAATACTGAAACAAAAAGTAAAATATAAGGATGAGGAAAACCAAGGCACACAGAGGACCTACAAGTGCCCCAGAACTCACCACAGACACATAGCAGAGGTCTTCTTTTCATATCAAGGATATGGATGGCAAGAAAGGCTGCTTTATTCCACCGAGATAGGCCCAACCACCATAGCCCAAATAAGAAGACAAGCATAGTTGTGACATCAGGCCAGGACAGTTAGAACTTGCTAGTATAGAGGGTGATAATCCACTTGGGCACACGGAGGAAGCCAGGTAAATAGGAGGCCAGCCAGCCCAGGCTGGGGACATTTGAGACAACAGAGCTCAAAGACAAATAGTCTTGGACAGGACGGCCTGGGGACAAGAGGAAGAGGAGGATTAGACCCTCATTTCCCACTTCTCAGACACTCCAACCTCGGCTTAGAGACTGAGGGAGGAGTGAGCAGGGAACAGAAGGAATAGCAGTCAAGGCTGGCTGCCACACAGAACTCTTACCATCCACATCCCGAAGGCCATAGCGTCGAGCGAGGTCACAGGATGGCAGCACCTTACCACTCAGGCTCAGGATATTGGGGTCTGTGGGCACACAGAGAGCTGGAGATGGCAGGCATAGGAGTGTGTAGTCACAAAGTTTGTGCCCAACTGGACTTGGTGCCACTGAGACAGACTCAGGAGCCCTGGAGAACTGTTTCTTTTTGTTCTTAGGAAGGTTCTTAAGCCATTAGCTCTTCGTCACAACTTCAGGAGCCAGTTCTTTTTTTTTTTTTTTTTTGACAGAGCCTCAAGCTGTCCCCCTGGGTAGAGTGCCGTGGCATTACAGCTCACAGCAACCTCCAACTCCTGGGCTCAAGCGAGTCTCTTGCCTCCGCCTCCCAAGTAGCTGGGACCGCAGGCGCCCGCCACAACGCCCGGCTATTTTTTGGTTGCAGCCGTCATTGTTGTTTGGTGGGTCCGGGCTGGGGATTCGAACCCGCCACCTTAGGTGTACGTGGCTGACGCCTTAGCCAGTTGAGCTATAGGCGCCGAGCCAGGAGCCAGTTCTTAAGGCTCCCAGACCACAAACTGGGAATCCTGACTCTTTGGGCCCATGAAAGCCAGTAAAAATAAGCCCCCTGGAACCAGATCTAGGCTCTGCCTGCCACCTCCCTCTGATCCTCTGTGCACTTTCTTATTACCAGCTTCCCCTAACCTTTTTACCTGTTGCCAAAGCCACCACACATTTGCCACTCATTTCTGTGGTTTCTGCTGAGGAGAAATGTGATCTGAACTAAAACACAGAGATGGAAAAACAGAGGATTAATTTCTAAGAGTACTGCCCAAATCTCTTCTCTCCCTTTCAGCTTAGTCCCCATTTCCTCCAGGAGGGATGGGCAGAGGGAGGAAAAAGGGTGGTAAGGGTGGGACTTAACTTCTGTTCCAGGAGAAAGAGGCCAAAGACCTTGCACAGGGCCTGTAAGGCTCAATGTCTTGGAATGTACCAGAGTCACTCCAAGCAAGCCCTGTACCCTGGCACCAGGACCTGCTGCTTTTCCTAACTGGAAGGATCTGGTAGTGCCATGCCACTAAGTCTAAATAACTTAAGTGCAAGGGTCAAGTGCATGGGATCCTGATAAGTAAGTGCATGTCCTTTCCACTTATGACATGTGTGACCCTGAACAAGTTTTTAAATCCCTCCAGGCTCCAGGTTTGCCACCTGTAAAATGGAGATAGTATCTCCCTTATCAGATTAAAGGAAATAATGTATGTACGGGGCTCAGCCTTGCACCTGCCACAGTGAGCACCAGTGAGTGGGAGGATTTACTGTTGTTATTGTCCTGTCATGAGGATGGAGAGGCTGATTCCCCTGCATTCTCTGCTTCCCTCCTCCTCCTCTTCTCAACCTGCTTAGTCAGTGGATCCTGTAGGGCCTCCTCCTTTGCCATATGCTCCTTCACCATTTCTGTCTGCACCAACCCTGGCCACAGAGACACGTAGCTGACCCCATGGCGTCGCAGCTCATGGGCACAGTCAGCAGCCAGCTTGTCGCACTGTGAAGAGATGGAAGGTAGGTTGAGAGCCAAGGCATTTGGTCCTGTCACCTTCCTCCCCTGCCCTATCTATTCCTACTGGGGATGCCCCATCTGTCTTCCCTTCGTAGGGCTCTGAGGTCTCAGCTGCCCACTTTTCCCAGTGCAATGCCTATTCTGGCTGACCAAGGGGAGCCCAAGCAAAGGAACTATCCCTTGATGAGGCAGAGGGGCAGGTGAGAGCAGCCAGCTTTATCATTCTGACCAGTGGCAATGGTACCTCTTGAGCTATAGGTACCATCACTGTCTTATACCTTCCTGGATCCTATGCCACTGAGTCCTCACCGCAGCTTTGCCCACACCATAGGGGACGTTGAACATATACTGCAGGCCCCCGGGAGAAGAGATGATCACAATGAGTCCCCGGCCAGCTGGTACCATCAGCCGTGCCCCGTAAACGGAGCACAAGTAGTGGCCTCTAGAAGGTGGGGCAGAAAAGAAAGAATGAACTGTATTAGTGCTGGCCAGGGGGCCACAGCCTCTGCCCTCTCCTAGTCATAGTCAGCTGGGGGAAGGTTGCTTAGACAAGTCAGGGGCCTGAGGCCACATTCTGAGAGGAAAACCAGTCACATTAACACTGATAGATGAGAAGCGGCAACCCCAGAAGATATAATGGAAGAATAGAGCTCTGTCAAGATAGCAATTATAAACAAAACAGTTCGGGGGGAAAAACCTTAATAAAGATATAGAGTCTACATGGAAAAACTATAAAATGTAAAAGGACAAGTGCAGACAAAATTGTTTAAAGAAAAACTGACATGTAACATATCATTCTATGTAAATTTTATTTCATTGGCTTATGTGTTGCTATTCCTGTACTGCATTCTTTTAACTACTATGTCATTGTACATTTTAATATGGTCACTGGCAAGGATTAGGGAAGCAAATTCCCCTCACTCACAGGACATTACTTTTCTTTATTCAGAATTTTCCTGGCTATTCTCATGTGTTTCTTCTTCTTTTTTTTTTTTTTTGAGACGGAGCCTCAAGCTATCCCCCTGGGCAGAGTGCCATGGCATCATGCTCACAGCAACCTCCAACTCCTGGGCTCAAGCGAGTCTCCTGCTTCAGCCTCCCAAGTAGCTGGGACTACAGGCGCCCGCCACAACGCCTGGCCATTTTTTGGTTGCAGCCATCATTGTTGTTTGGCGGGCCGGGCTGGGGATTCGAACCCGCCACCTTAGGTGTATGTGGCTGGCGCCTTAGCAGCTTGAGCCACAGGCACCGAGCCGTGTTTATTCTTCTCATTGAGCTTTAGGTTGTCAATTTTGCCAGAGTCTTATTGAACTATAATTCAAAATGACCAAATCTATGGATTATATGGTGTCCCCCAAATGGAAAAATGGGAAATTATAGTTAAATGTACCTTTGTTTACAAAATATTCATTACAAAATTTTACAGAATATTTACAAAATATTCTGTATGTGCTGGGCACCTCTTTCTACACACACACACACCCCCCCCCCAAAAGTCTTTTTTACAACTCCTGGTGAATATGTTCCAAAATATCTCTCATTATACATGTTTCCTATGTGTGGTAACTTTCAGAATACTCTGTAGCTTTCATAGAAATAATGTTTCAGGCGCCAGCCACATACACCTGGGCTGGCGGGTTCGAATCCAGCCCCAGCCCACCAAACAACAATGACGGCTGCAACAAAAAATAGCTGGGTGTTGGGGCGGGCGCCTGTAATTCCAGCTACTTGGGAGGTGGAGGCAGGAGAATCGCTTGAGCCCAGGAGTTGGAGGTTGCTGTGAGCTGTGACGTCACAGCACTCTACCTAAGGCAATAGCTTGAGGCTCTGTCTAAAAAGAAAAAGAAAAAAAAGAAAGAAATAATGTTTCACATATCACTTTTTCTATTTTCTTGGAGGGCCATGGATTGGGGACTGGCCAATTTCCAGCTTTTAGGGTTTTCCTTTCTTGCCTTTGGGCTGACCATACCCCTCTGTCCTCACAATCTTTCTTCCACTTTGGAAATCACAATTGCAGTCTAATCCTGCTTCCCTGGGATTGTGCCCCAAGTACCAAAATCAGAGGGGTACATGTTCTCACATGTTCTTGCCACAGATTTGCAGATACTCTCTTGGTACCTCTTATAGATCACATCCCTCAAGTGTAGTTTAATTACATGAGAGGGTAGCGTCATTTCAACATAACAAACATAACTGCTGCACTTTATGCTGGGCAATTTCTAAGTGCTGTGTTTCATTTCACTCCTATGACAGATGTATGTGTGACCCCATGACACCCCTGCCCTCCTACTTCTGACCTGGGAGTGCCTTCACTATAGGTCTGGAGTGAGGAGGATGCGGAGGCTACAGAGATCTGGTGCTCACTCTTTCTTATTAATATCCTTTAAAACAAAACAATTTCTCCGTCTAACAATTTTTGAAAATGAAGACTACTGGTTGTGTGCATTACTGAGAGAAAGAAGCTTCCTTTTGGGTCTTGCATCTGGATGGACAGAGACTAAGTCCAGAGAGAGGGCAAGGGCTTGTTCAGATGAAAATAACAGAGAAACAAGGCAGAAGTTCACATTTCCAGGTACAGACTCACCTAGATGGAACTTCTCCAGAGATAAGCTGGACAAATGGACAGAAGGGAGGAGAAAGTGATGGGGGAGACCAGAGGGGAAAGGAGAAGGAATGCAGAGAAAGGTCTGGCCATTGAGTTGGCTGAGTGATGGGAGACTGGGCCCTGACAGTGGCACAAAAGGAGCACCTACCTGAGTCCAACATTGTTGATATCATCCCACATGGAGGCGGGGTTTTCCCAGAATGTCTTGTTCCCGTTGTTCAGGATTGTCTGGAAGCACAGGGAGGGTGATCAATTGGATGATTTGAAAGCAGGAAGGTATGCAGGGTTGGGCAATAGAAGGGATGAATAGGGACATGGACTTGGGTCTCAGAAGAGGAGGTCAGGAGCATGGAGCTGGGATCAAAATTCAAAGGGTACCTGGACCCCAGCATAAGCATTGTTGACCAGCACATCTAGACGCCCCTGCTGTTCCCGATCCACTTGCTCAAACAGGCTTCTTACTTCACTCTCCTGGCTTGAATCACACACCACAGGCACACACCGGCCCCCGAGCGATTGAGCCTGGAGAGGGATAGGGGACCTGAGCTCACAGTTCACAGTTGCATACGTGCGGTGATTCATAACAATTTCAACTAAAGTGGACTTGAGATCTCAGTAGGCAATCACAGGAAAGTCAGCACTGAGTCAACATGGCAGGCCACACTGCCCTCTGGTGTCTGTTTGAAGAGTTTCAGGAAGGACAGGCCCTCCTATCCCAGAGTAAAGTGGACTGAAGTTGCAGGTTTAATAATCTACAAACATTTACTGAGGCCTATCATGTGCAAGGCACGATACTATGCAAGTAGAGAGTAAGGGCAAGTAAGTCATAGAGACTGTCTTGAGAAATGAGTATCTCCTTGTTAGTATAGTGGTAAATTAAAAAAAGAGAGAGAAAAGAGTAATTATCCTTTTCCACATCCTTGGTCATTTCCTTCTCTCATGCCCTTAGCGCTCATCCTTCACCACTCACCTGGAACCCCCACTCAATCCCAGCCCTCTTACCCTCACTCCACCAATGCCCTTGCTTAGTAACTGAAAAAAAGAAATCAAAGCTATTAGGCATGAACTATTGCTACTCCCTGTTCTATGTCACTCTCTACAAATGTGGCCCTATTTTCCAACTTCACAGGAAGAAGAGCACCTTATTCAAGAACAATCCTGCTATTCTCCAAATCCATGCTCTGAGTCCCACCCTGTTATCCCAGTCCCCATTGCCAGAACCACTGCAAGGCTTACTTTTTTTGAAACAGGGTCTTGGTCTGTCATCTAGTCACCCAGTACAGTGGCTCAGTCATAGCTCACTGCAACCTCAAACTCCTGACCTCAAGATCCTCTTGCCTTAGCCTCCCATGTAGCTGAGATATAGGCATGCAACATCATGCCTGGCTAATTTTAATTTTTTTGTAGAGTTGGGGGGGGTGTCTCACTATGTTGCCCAGGCTGGTCTCAAACTACTGAGTTCAAGAGATCCTCCCACCTTGGCTTCACAAAGTGCTGGGATTACAGGTATAAGCCACTGCCTCCAGCCTGTAATACTTACTAGTTACTTAACCCCCCGTCTTTCTGTCTTAAATTAATTCTTTATAATCTAGCCAGCATAAACAACCTAAAACACAAATCTGTTCAAAATCTCCTAATTGGACCACCATCTCTTAGAGGATAACGCTTAAATTCTCTACTAGGATTTTCCAAGATCCACTCTTTGCTCTCTAGCCTCTCACCCACTATTCCTTCCTTGCATTATTTCACAACACCCACACTCTTTCACCATAGTCTCTCTGCTCTCTTAACTTCTTTGCTAGAATGATTTCCCTAATTTCCTTTACCTAACTCTTACCTTTCAAGACTCAGTTCAAGAACTACCTCCTCCAGAATTCTTTCCCAAGCAACTCCTCTTATATCATCTCCATACCCCTAAAGCATTCTGTATATATCTCCCTCTTACAATTTACCATATTCACATTACTTTGAAATAATTCATTTCTGCACCTGACTTCTTGTTGGAATCTATTTTTTTTTTTTGAGACAGAGCCTCGAGCTGTCTCCCTGGGTAGAGTGCTGTAGCATTACAGCTCACAGCAACCTCCAACTCCTGGGCTCAAGAGATTCTCCTGCCTCCACCTCCCAAGTAGCTGGGACTACAGGTGCCCGCTACAATGGCCAGCTATTTTTTGGTTGCAGCAGTCATTGTTGTTTGGTGGGCCCAGGCTGGATTCAAACCCGCCAGCTTAGGTGTATGTGGCTGGTGCCTTAGCCATTTGAGCCACAGGCGCCGAGCCTGGATTCTATTTTTTAAGAGCGGAAATTATCAGTTTTGGTAACCCCAGTGCTTTACCTAATTCCTAGCAATTCATGGATGCTTAATTATTTAACTGAAATCCAAAAGAAGTCAAATGAAAATGAATAGAAGTCTTGCCTAAAATAAAGGAAAGTACAGGTCTACAACTTTTTAGTTGCAATTCCAAAATCTCTGGAACTCTCAAACACAAAGTTTTTCCAGAAAACTCAGTTGGTGGCAAATTCCACCATACCTGGAGTTATTTATGGGGCTTATTTATTCCACTTTGAGTAAATATTCACATCTTGTTGAGTATATTAAGGTTTCAGGTAAGTGATCAGGAGAGGGAGTGGTTAAGTAGAAGGCATTTCTCAGGTAGTTTCTGCAATTGTGGTCCTGGAGGAAGCACTCACCTCCTGAGCAGTCACCTGAAGGGTGTCCAGATGACGGCCAGTGATATAAACTGTGGCACCTGCTTGACAGAGCTGCAAGGCGATGCCACGGCCAATACCCCTGGAGGCACCAGTCACCACACACACTTGGCCCTTCATGGGACACGCCATAACTCACAGGCAAAGGCGAGAAGTCTGTGGAAGGAAAGACTTGCTCTGGGGGAAGCCTGCAGATTGTATGTGAAGGGGCTAAGCGAGGGAGCCAATATCGGAATCCTTTGGGGGCAGAGAAGTTTCAGCGGAGGACAACTGAGTGGGAACCCCAGGGCAAAGCTAACCCCCTTTTGCAAGGCCCAGGGAGTATAGAAGATGCTGGGTGGGGCTGTCCAGGGCTGGAACCTATTGCGACCGTCTCAGTGGGGCTGACTGGGGGTGTGACGGGGGATGTGCCGCTGCAGCTTCAGGGTGAATCCACGCCAGCCCTGGGCTATCTGGAGCTCTGGCACCTGGTCGGGCCTAGTCAGGAGAGCGACTTCCAAGTCCCTGAAGACCCAGAGACTAAGTGGGTGGAGCTCGCACCCCTTACCTGCTACCTGTGCTGCTTCAGAGGGGTTCTAGCGCTGTGTAGCTCGCCATACCTGCAGTTCGAGAACTGTAATTCCGACCGCAGTGGCGGGACGAGGTGATTACGGCTGGGGTGGAAGTTCGGATTCTAGCCCGGGTTGAGCTGACGACGTGGAAGCCAGGCTCAAGGATCGCTCGGTAGCATCTGGGTCGATTACTATCTGGAGCCGAGGGAGCAGAGTCTGACTGTGGTTTGGGACTGGCAAATGCGGGCGGACCCGTATGGGACACACCCTTACGGGCTCGCGTCGGTCGCGGAGCTATGACGTATACGGAGCGCGCCAGGGATTCTGAACTGTGTTGGGACCAGGCTCAGGGCTGGCGGAGTAGAGAGTTAGGTCTGTGGCCAAGGAAGCTTTTTGCGGCCGGAGAGGTTCCGAGGCACGCATGGGGCTAGGTCTACGCTCTCCCCGCAGGGTGGGGTGCCGGTTCCCAGCTGGTTGCAAACAGGGTCGTGGGGCCAAGGGGTCTAGACGTCCCTCACCAGGCAGCGAGCGGCAACCCCGGCCGCCTCCGGATGGGCGCTCGGATTCGCACCCTCACCTGAGCCCCGAAGCTCTGGGATATTTCCGTCGGGCGCTGTCCGCGCTGAAGGAGTCTCCCAAGACTCAGGAAGAACGAGGTAGGGAGCAACTTCGAGGTTTAGACCAAGAGTCTGAAATCCAGGATAGGCAAGGAAACTTTGGGGCTAACCAAGGCATGAGGACTTAATTCCTTAGGTCCTGGCTCGGCGCCTGTGGCTCAAGTGGCTAAGGCGCCAGCCACATACACCTAAGGTGGCGGGTTCAAATCCAGTCTGGGCCCGCCAAATAACAATGATGGCTGCAACCAAAAAATAGCCGGGTGTTGTGGCGGGCGCCTGTGGTCCTCGCTACTTGGGAGACTGAGGCAGAAGACTCGCTTGAGCCCAGGAGTTGGAGGTTACTGTGAGCTGTGATGCCATGGCACTCTACCCAGGGGGACAGCTTGAGGCTCTGTCTCAAAAAAAAAAAAAAATTCCTTAGGTCCTCTTCCTTGGTCCCCGCCCCTTAGTTAGTGATGGATTAACCACATTGTCTACTCAGTCTCTTTAAAATATTTCTTTCCTATCTTTACAGAACTGATGGTGCACAATATTTTGAAGGAAGTGGAGGCTCAGGCCTTAGCCTTGTCCACAAACAGGACTGGCAGTGAGATGCTGCAGGAACTGTTGGGGTTCAGTCCATTGAAACCATTCTGTCGAGTTTGGGCTGCTTTGCGTTCGGACTTGCGCTTTGTGGCTTGTCACCGGTGTGGGGTCCATGTATTGCAAAGTGCTTTGCTGCAGCTGCCTCGATTGCTGGGGAATCCAGAGAAGGAGGAGGAGGAGGAGGAGGATGGGAAGGATGGTCCCATGGAGACCCTGGAGGAGCTTGTTCTGGGACTAGCCGCTGAGGTGTGTGAGGATTTTCTTTTCTACTGTGGAGACACACATGGCAGCTTCATGGTGAGAACTCTGCTGCAGGTGTTAGGAGGGACTATCTTGGAGTCTGAGAGAGCCAGGACCCGTGGCTCCCAATCACCTGGTAAGTATTACAAGAAAGAGAAGTGAACCTAGAGTGAAGGAGATTTAGAAGGAGACATAAGCAGAAGAGGAAGTCTTCACGGGGCGCTTGACTTTGAAAAGTTAGCAGAGAAATTAGAGGAGTACTTAGAAGGCCAAAAATTAGTGTGTGCAGAGGCCCAGAGGTAAGGAAGTACAGTTGAGGGGACTGCTATTAGGATAGGGCCAGGAGGAGGAGGTGAGTCATAGAGAGCAAAGAATTTCAAACTTCTTCTTCTTCTTCTTTTTTTTTTTTTTTTTTTTTTTACCACAACTCATGGTAAGAATTTTTTTAAACATGACACTAGTATAAATACACATATTGGACTTAAGCAAAATTTCAGGGAACAATACCTTTACTACATGCAACCCACTCTGTTATTTCCCCCTTTTTTCCTTATTCTGCTCTATTCATTTAAAAAAAGTGCTGGTTGGCACCTCTAAATTGATTTCACAATACAATCACAGGCTGTGATCTACATTTTGAAAAACCTAGGGTAATAAGTTTAGAGAATTAAAATGAGGCCTGATTTTGATGGCTCGAATACCTGGCCAAGGAATTTGAATTATTTCCTAGGGGACGTGGGGCAGTTAGTTGAAGTTTCTTAGAGAAATGACAACAGAAATGCAATCTCAGTTCAATCATCCAGAAGAGACATGCAGTTATATCACATTTGTTCTGCACCTCCAAACTGAATCCTTGTTCATCTGTGCAATTCTTCTCCTAGGTGGCAGTTTGTGATCTCACCACTGCACATATTCTTGATCTTTTTTCAGAAGCACAAAAGGTCCCAGCTCGGGAATGTAAGCCAACTGATTTTGAGGTCCCTGAAACCTTCGTGAATTGCCTTCAGGACCTGAGTTCCTGCTTTTTGAAGGACATTGCTGGTAAGGAAGGAAGTAAGAAGAGGGTCTAGGATCTATTTTTCTGGAGTTGATTACCACGAAGCAATGCCTTTAGGTCAGGCTATTCATTCCTTTTCAAATCTGGTCTGTTTTGATTTTGCAAAGCACTGTATATAGACACTTTATGTCTCTTATTTCTTGTTGCTTCAGGTTTGAGGTTGTGTAGTTTATCTGGTTTTGGGGAAAGCTGCTTTATTACGGCCCTTTCCCCACAGTGTTTATCACCGACAAGATCTCCAGTTTCTGCCTTCAAGTGGCCCTACAGATTTTATACCGCAAACAGCCTCAGTTCTGTGCCCATCTCTGCAATGCTGTGATTAACTACCTGAGTACTCGTAATTCCTCAGCAGATGGCAGGTATGATCAGAGCCATAGGATTGACCAAGGTTGGTGGGGCTGTGTGAAACAAATGAGGTGATGTGGTGCAACTTTATTTTAGATGAAGTGACATTAAGACTGCCTGATCCACTTCTTGTCCCCAGTCCCCTACTGCTATTTCTGCGGGATCAGACGAGCTCCAGACTCCTAGAGCAGGTGCTGCTGGTGTTGGAGCCCTCAAGGCTCCAGAGTCTCTTTGAGAATCACTTCCAGGGGCAGTTGCAGACACTGGCTGCACATCCCATTGCCAACTTCCCTTTGCAGCGTTTACTGGATGCAATTACCACCCCTGAGTTGGTGAGTTGGAAACCTGGGATGGGTCTGTTTCTGCTAATTCTTCTTTTTTTTTTTGACAGAGTCTCAAGCTGTCTCTGGGTAGAGTGCCATGGTGTCTTAGTTCACAGCAACCTCCAGGTTGGGCTCAAGTGATCATCTTGCCTCAGTTTTTCTATTTTTAGTAGAGAGACAGGGTCTTGATTTTGCTCAGGCTGGTCTTGAACTCATGAGCTCAAACAATCCACCCACCTCGGTGGAATGCTAGCACTCCCAGAGTGCTAGGATTACAGGTGTATGCCGATATGCCTGGCCTCTTTCTGCTAGTTATTGATCACTGAACCTTATTTCATTGTGTGCCTATCTCTATATATGTTAGACAATGTGCTGGTCATGCCCTCGAAAAAGTAATCCTCAAGGTTTTCCAGAGCTTAGGGTGAAGGTGCCCTCCTGTTAGAGAGGATTTGTTTTGGTTTTTCTGAGGTATGAGTACAATTAGGAGACTGGATTAATTCAAGTTTGTACCTTGAGGCTCTATGGCCCACTCAGACTCTGGGTACTTGGCTACAAGTCCAAGTGTTTGCTGGGGCTGTTGCCATAGCTTCTTTTTTCTTTTGCTACTTAGCACCAAAGCAGGCTTCCCTGTGGTCTCATTGGTTGGAAGTTAAGAGTGGAGGGGCAGATTTAATTCTAGTCTTCCCTTACCCCTACTTCTCCCTTACACATACAGAGGAGACACTGAAAGTCCCTTTTCTATGTGAGGCAGCACCTCTAGGACTGCCCCCTGTTCTGGATTTTATCCAGTCAAACAAAAATACTGATATTGGGAATGCTGTTTATTTTTATTTAGCATTTTTAGTTGTTTTCAGTAGGAAGATTTCTCTGAATAACTTATCTCACCATTACCAGAATGCCAAAGGCTCTTCATCTCTTGTTTCCCCTCAGCTGTCTCCTGTATTTGAGGAGCTGAGCCCTGCCCTGGAAGCTATCCTGGCCCAGGGCCATCCCGGGGTAGTCGTTGCCCTGGTGGGGGCTTGTTGCAGAGTTGGGGCCCACCAAGCCCAGGTCCTCCGGCTGTTGTTGGAGGTGAGTGGGTGTTACTCATGATCCATTTATGCTGTTGGCTCAAATTCTACCTGTTAGGACTTACCTAATCTTAAGTCATTGTATTTCTGGACTCAAGAAGTCTAATGCTCAGGTGGTTCGCAGATAAAGGGAAGATGAGGCCAAAGCTATTTCAGAGCTTTGGAATGAAAATTGTCTTCCAGAACTAAGAGAGAAGTTTATTTAAGGGATAAATGTTTATTCAACCCCTGTCATGTGTATAGAGTACAGGGGTACAGCAAGGCAGGTGAGATCCTGTCCTCATGGAACTTACATTCCTTGGAGTTAGGCTTTCTCACCTTTTCTGAAAATTTTCCCTGTCTAGAAAATTGAGGTTTGGCTCGGCACCTGTGGCTCAAGTGGCTAAGGCGCCAGCCACATATAAAGTGGTGGGTTCGAATTTAGCCCGGGCCTGCCAAAAACAACAATGACAGCTGCATCCAAAATTTAGCCAGGCATTGTGGCCGGCGCCTGTGGTACCAGCTACTTGGGAAGCTGAGGCAGGAGACTCGCTTGAGCCCAGGAGTTGGAGGTTGCTGTGAGCTGTGATGCCACTGCACTCTACCCAGGGGGACAGCTTGAGGCTGTGTCTTAAAAACAAAAAAAAAGAAAGTTGAGGTTAGGGATGGGAAAGTTCTTAGGATCATCATGTTGTCTTCCCCTATAGGCATTCCACTGTGCAGAGCCCTCATCTCGGCAAGTGGCCTGTGTGCCTCTTTTTGCCTCTTTGATGACTTATGAGGTGTATTATGGACTGATGGAGGAGGAGGGGACAGTGCCTGTGGAGCACCAGGTGAGGTGGGGAGAGGCCATGCCAGTGACTAATTAGGGGCCAGGCCTTGCAGGTCTTAAGAAGTCTCTCCTGAGGTGAGGGTGGTGAGATCTCTGACTTCATCCAGTGGAGGTGCCTTTATCCTGGGAAGGAACTCACCCACCTGGATTGTTGGCTGCCTCCTAATTTCTTATCTCTGTGCTCCTAGGTGGAAATGGCTGCAGCCAGGGCCTTGGGGGAAGTGACAGTCCTTGGGTCTGTATTGCTCCAGCATCTGCTGCACTTCTCCACTCCTGGTCTTATACTTCAAAGTCTGGGTGCCTTGAAGGGACCACAACTTCTGGCTCTGGCCCAAAGTCCTACTGGCTCCCATGTGCTTGATGCCATCTTGACCAGCCCCTCTGTAACACGAAAGCAGCGCCGCCGTGTGCTGCAGACCCTAAAGGTTAGTCTTCTGGCTTCTTCCTTGATTCCCGCCATCCATTTAGAGTATATGAGCTTCCCCCAGAATTGTACCTTCAGAGTCAAAGAGAGGATATATAGTTCTCAGACTATTTTGACTTCGCCTCTAAACTCTTTAGAAACTTCACTCCCTTCCTCCCCCTCAAACATACTTTCATGGACTTCCCTAGAGGGATCTACCTTGCTTGTCTTAATGCAGGGACAGTATGTGGCTCTGGCCTGTAGTCGCCATGGCAGTCGTGTGCTAGATGCTATCTGGAATGGAGCAGCCTTGGGAGCCCGGAAGGAAATTGCTACTGAGTTGGGTGAGTACCCGCATCTGTCTTTGATGTTTCCAAAATTTCCTTTTTTCCCCTCTAGATAGCTGAGTAGCTGGGTAGTAGACTTAAATTCAGCGGAGACTTTAGTTCCAAAGAGCAGTCTTGTGCATGGCTTCTTAGTGGTCTGCTTTTCTCTTCCCCTCTGCTAACTGATTGTACAGTCTTCTGCTTCTGTCCTTTTTCTTGGCTTCTTTTTTTTTGGAGAATGTCAGTCTGTCCCAGCAACAGGCCAGGGTCTAAGGAAAATGGTGGGACTTTCACTCCAAGCAGAATCTGTCTTTGAGCATGGGTGGTACTAAATATGAGTGGTTTCCTTTGTAGGGAAGCAGAACCAGGAGCTGATAAGAGACCCTTTTGGCCACCATGTGGCTCGAAATGTGGCACTGACAACCTTCCTGAAGCGACGAGAGGCTTGGGAACAGCAGCAGGGTGCAGTGGCCAAGCGGAGGAGGGCACTGAACTCCATACTTGAAGGCTAAGGCTTTTGGATCTGGAACTGGGTGTTGGCGGGGAAAGGTGAAAGGGAGTATCCGTCCCATATCTTTCCTAGTTTAAATTGGATTCAGAAGTCTTATTGGTAAACATTTTTATATTTTTACTGAAATGTTTTTATTTTAGGGGGGAAAGATACAGAAACAGAGATTCCAAGGTAAGGTTAGAGAGGACCTGTCCATCAGTGTGTTGGGGAGCTTAGGTACAGAAGGAGTTGGTAAAGGATCTAGATATAGCAGCAGTCAGGTTTGGATTAAGATGCCTGGCGACAGGCTTATGGCCTCTCACACTAAATGAAAGGCTGGAAATGTGGGTAGGAAGGGACAACATTTAGGTAAGGATATAGGCTTGGGGTATAAAGCATTATAGTGAAAAGTTCTGTCACAATGGGGTCAGAGGATAGTGGGGAAATTGACTGAGTTTTCTAGCCTGCAGAAAACTGTCTACAGATCCTGACATCTGATGCTGTCACAGTCCTCACAGTGTATCTCTTGAAACGAGTCTGGGGGCATTTTCTCAGTAGGAATGGAGGCGACCCTGCTGCTGCCACTGCTCAGCTCCCTCCACTACGTGGCGAATAGTGGAAGAAATTCCCAGCAGCATATGGCCCAGGCCTTGCAGCAGTGTGGAGATCCAGCGAAGGAGCTCCCTGAAGGGCAGAGACAGAGGAAATCAGATGATAAGGGAAACTGGGAGGAGGCCAGCAAACTAGGGCTGAGGTTTTCATAAGAGAGCTAACCAGGGGTAGGTGGGTGCCAGAGGAGGAATTATGGACACTGTCTAACTGTTGGGGATAGGGAAGTAAGACATTTTGATTTCTGACCTGAGTACTTTTTTGGGGCCAAGTCCTTGAAAATCACAACTCATGGAGTATAGCCCGTAGAATGTGGCTTTGATGTTCAAGCTGCCAAAGAGGTCTCGAGGGTTTTGCTTGTATACATCAAAGGTGATGCGGGCTATGTCCTTGCTATGCTTGGGCTTCTCACGGCCCAGGCCGTAGGACAGCATTCCACTCTGCAGGACACCCCCATCAGTGCAACGGACCCTCACACCCTGATGCCCACCACTAATTCCCATCAGCACTTGAGCAGACCCACCCTTGCCTGGACTGTGTGTATATTGTGAGATGTCCTTGACAACTCCACAGCGCCTCTGCCCCCAATATCAGGATTAGGTTAGGGAAGAAGCTTGGGAGAGCTATAAAGGATCGGTGGCCTAAGCAGCTCTCGTATGGGCCTCTCACCCTGTTGGGGCTCCAGCTCTGCCCACACTCTAGCACCATCAGGCATGTGTCATCCTCCAGCAGCTGGAAGAAGTCCTCACTCTCCACTGCAGTCCCATCCTCCTCTAGCACCAGGGTTAGCACTCCACTCAGCAGCAGGGTCTCTAGTGCCTGCCCAGTGACAAGAAGCAGGAAGGAAGGGACAGATCTTATCACATACCCCTTCCCTGTTTAGCTGCTCAGCATCCATCCGTTGGCTCTAGACACTGGTTGACACAAGTCTATTTCCCAGCTCTTTGCCATTCCTTCTTATGGCTGCAGCTCTCATGTTTTTCCCTGTTTGCTACTGCCATGTCACTGTCAACTCCCCCTCCTCCCCTCCAAGCCTCTTCTACTGGTTTGGAATTGAAAAACTAGCCGGGCTCTCTTTAAGTTGATCCTTTTGTCTTATTTACAATGTCCCACCATCCTCACAGTTCTCCAGAACTCTGTAGAGTAGTAGTGTTTATCCTTTTTGAGTCACTATGTGCACTTTACATATGTTGTCCTCTTTTACTCCTTTCAACAACTCTAGGAGGCAATGATTTACTAATTTCTTTTTGTAGATGAAGAAGGTGAGGTTCTGATGGGTTGAATAACTTCCCAAGGTTTGACAGGAAGTGGCAGAATCAGGATTTGAACTTGATTTGTTATACAAATCACCATTGTATACTGACCTCCAACCCTCATTTCCCTACTGCTTCCCCTTCTCCCAGAGAACAGCCCACTATGTGGAAAATAAACCGATTGACCTAAATACAGCAGAAGTCATTGTCCTTACCCCATTTTTAGCCTGCAGGGGCAGCTGTGTGGCCTGAGCCCTTTCCACTCCATCATCCCAAGTTTTCACTGTTCTCAGCCCCTTCGTTGCTCCTGTTTTAGAAACCCAGATACTTGGCTCACCTTGTCTAGCAGCTCCTGGCGAGTGGCAGCTGTCAGACCTTTCCTGATGGTCCGCTTGTGATCACAGACACGGAAAGGTCGCTGGGGTGGTGGAGCTGAGGTCCAGACCCTACGTCCAAACTCGGAGCTTATATTAGATACTGACCTGGTAGTTGGGAAGTAAGGTCAAGAAGGGACACCAGAGAAACTTGGTGAGTACGGTTGGGATGATGACGGTGGGGTGGCTGCAGGGCTATGGAGGGAGGAATCTAGGTTTGCAGATTAGGATAGCAGATGAGAGGAAGGAGAGACCAGTGGAGTTGAGGTGGGGGCTCATGCTTCAGGAGCTGGACAAACCCACAGTGGAGTAGGGGCAGGACAGAAAAGGGTATAGGTGAGTCTCCTAGGGCTGTGTGGAGTTTTGTTGCCCGGCACATATCCTTACAGTTGGAGGACAGAGAGAGTAGGGTTAGAAATCACCTGAGCAGGTCACTGGGTTTGAGGGCTGAGAGGTACTCCATAGTGGAGATGAGGAGAGTTGCCTCCGCTGGCTTCTGGGCTGGGTGGTTCTGTGCTGTGCTGAGGCTGAAGTGGTGTTTTCTGTTATAAAGCTGTGATCTCAGCCTTAGATGAGGTGGGGAATGAGTCGAGCTTGGACTCTGGCCCTTCTGCCTGGCGGGTAAGAGGGGCAAAGTCCAAGGGGTGGGAGGGAGGAGGGGATAGATGGGGTCGTAGAGGTAGAATTACCCAACAAATGCCACAGGAGCTTGTATGTGTGTCTCTGGTGAGGGCATGCCTTGTGAGGGTAAATGGGGAATTTGTAAAAGGATGGAATGTGACGTCTGGTGTTTTTATCCCTGTGGACGGAATTTTTAGAGACCGTTTCTGCCTACCCATCTAAGAAGCATGTATGTGAGCTGCGCTATATGTGCTGCCACCTACTGGAAAAGCTGTGAGCTGCAGCTTTAGAAAAAAAGATGGGGCTGAGGGTGTGGAAACGGATAGGAGCATGGGCTACCCTTGAGAGGCATCTCAGTGTGTATGGGAGGAGTGTGAGGAGAAAATGGATCCTGATCAAGGGTCACCAGAGTTCTATCTGGGACCCTGGTTTTCCTCACCTGCTTCTGCCTCCTTGGTGGAGGGAAGGGGCTTGGTCATCATTGTTCTGGCTTCATTCCCCAGGACTATCTACTTCAGCCATACTGAAGTAGTGAGCTCTCTCACCTTTTTCCTTTGATAATTAAAGGGCATGAAGATGATATGAATGAGGCAGGAGATGTCCTTTGATGACATTAGAACTTTAGCTGTTGGTACAAGATGGTACCTTGTACCATCTCTGATTTCTGTTGCAACTATGATGGACAGTTGCATGGCGGCTCAGACTCTGATATTGCACCCCTCAAATGAGCACAAGCTCTACTTTCCTGCCCAGGAGGCTTGAAGGGTCTCCCAGTTTCTTTACTTTCTCTGTGTTCTGACTGAGAAACAAAGCTCCTTGGTTGCGCTGTGACCTGGCCAACTTCATTTCTCGTGCAGGCTTGAGCTTAAGCCAACACCATAACCATTCCCAGGTACTGGCAAGACGTTCAGGTTCAAGTTGTTGCTCTAAATACAGAAAGAAACTGGCTCTAACACTGAGACAAATTCCTTAAATCCTCATATATAAACTCCATACATTAACTACCTTTTTGTGGACAGACTTCGGTAAAATGTTTCTCACTGTCATGAGGATTCACTATAGCCCCTTTTGTAAGTTCCCCTAATAAATACTTTGGACTGATCACATACGTGAGCTTCTTTCTTTGGGTTTAGTGCTTTCTTTGAAATCTCAACAGACCACTGTACTTGTTCCTTCACAGTTTGTATGTGAATGTCCCACTTTTGGGGCAACTCCAGGTGAGGCAGAACAAGCATTGTCAGGAGCTCTGGCAGCTTACTCAGCCCCCTGACAAGTACAGCCTGCAAGGACAATCCTCAAACAAGGGTGCATGCCCTAGTCCTCTGTTTTAGGCATTCTGTACACTTCTCAAAGGTTCCCAGTGCCTGCTGAAGGGACTCAATAACACACTTCGTGGCTTTCCTTTTCCCTATCTTCCCTGCTCCCTCACTCTGGCTTCCTGAGCTGACCTCCCAAATACAGCATTATCTGTGCCCGTGCCCTTAACTCAGGCTCTGCTTTGGAGGAACCCAAGCTCAGATAATGCTCCTGGTGTTTTGGTTCCCAAGGAACCCCCAGTTCTGGCTACTGACTTGTTCAACTTCTCTATTTCCTTTCTCCAGCTATGTTCTCTCCAGGCCTTCCCTCAAATCTCTTCATTTCCAAGTTTTACCTGACCTCTCTAAGAGAGAGAGTTGGGCTCTGCGCCTGTAGCACAGTGCTTATGGCGCCAGCTGTATACAACAAGCATGGTGGGTTTGAACCCGGCCCTGGCCAACTATGCAACTGCAACCAAAAAATAGCCAGGTGTTGTGGCAGGCGCCTGTAATCCCAGCTACTTGGGAGGCTGAGGCAAGAGAATCACTTAAGACCAAGAGCTGGGCTCGGCACCTGTGGCTCAAGCGGCTAAGGCGCCAGCCACATACACCTGAGCTGGCAGGTTCGAATCCAGCCCGGGCCTGCCAAACAACAATGACGGCTGCAACCAAAAAATAGCCAGGCGTTGTGGCGGGCGCCTGTGGTCCCAGCTACTTGGGAGGCAGAGGCAGGAGACTCGCTTGAGCCCAGGAGTTGGAGGTTGCTGTGAGCTGTGATGCTATGGCACTCTACCCAGGGCAACAGCTTGAGGCTCTGTCTCAAAAAAAAAAAAAAAAGACCAACGCTGGAGGTTGCTGTGATGCGAGAGCGCTCTACCTGGGGTGATACAGTTAGACTATGTCTCAGAAAAAAAAAAAAGAAGAGAGAGTTGCTTCTCAGTATGTCTTTGTCACTGTACCTGTTCCTTCTTAGATCTTGGTGCAGTGTGTTAGTGTGGTCTCTTCAAGATTGTGTTATGACTCCCCAACCAGGTTATGAGCCCCTTATGCCTCTGTGCATCCCCTTCTCACCCCACAACCTAGCACCATGCCTCATATGGAAAGGCTCACATTTGACAGCCCAGTGAGAGCCCTGAGAATGGAGTGACTGTAACAGGCCCAAAGCAAGAGTCAGGAGGAGGCAGGCCAGGAGCTGAGGAAGAAGGATGGTTTAGCAGGATAAGGAGGCTGGAAACAGGCAAAGACAGAGCAGCTGGGGGAATAAGTTTGGCTCACCTCTGCTGAGTGCAGGCCAAAAAGGCCAGGGAACAGCAGTGCTGCAGAAGGTGGGCTGGGAGGATTGGGGCCAGAGCTAGGGGAGGGATGAAAAAGAAAGCAGTAGCAGGGTCAGGACTCAGCAGCATTCTCCTACTCCCCTCCTTTCCCCGGAGGCAGGCTCTCACACACCTGCCTGGACGTGTTAGTGATGGGAAGGAGTAGGGTGAGGGAGGGGCCGCAGGAAGGCGCAGGATGAGCCCATCTTGTCCCTCCCTGTTCATGCCTCATGCTCTGCAAATGTGACAGGCACAGGACAGGAGTAGGCATCTCGCCCACTGCTGCTTCACCTTTCAGCTTCACTAGGCCTCTCAGAGGACCCTAACCCAGTGGGTTTCCCGCTGAGTAAGTAGATCTGCCCATGCCACTTTACTCCCCACGGCCCACTTTTGCCTGAGGCTGGAGGAATGAGGTTGGGGCTGGACAAAGGAGAGGCCAAACTAGAAGGGTGAGGGTGGAGATAGTGACAACCTGGAGTGTGGACATGGGCCTCTGGGAAGGACCTTGGAGTGGGGGAGGTCAGCTGACTGGGAGCAGAGGATCTGGGTTCCAAGAACTCCTTGAGTACTTTTGAATGTAGGAATTCAAGGCTGCCAAACAGAGGAGAGGCAGGCTGCAGGGAAAGGGGGTGGGCACGGTCTTTTACCACTGGGGATCAGAGGTAATGGGCTTCTGCTCAGCCCTGAACGCTCTCTGTGGCCCCTCCATTCCCCTGTAGGCCAAGAAGGATGTTGGTCTGCTACCGCCCCCCGGGGAATGAGACACTGCTGAGCTGGAAGGCCTCGCGGGCCACAGGCACGGCCTTCCTGCTGCTGGCGGCGCTGTTGGGGCTGCCGGGCAATGGCTTCGTAGTGTGGAGTTTGGCGGGCTGGCGTCCCGCACGGGGGCGGCCACTGGCGGCCACGCTCGTGCTGCACTTGGCGCTGGCCGATGGCGCGGTGCTGCTGCTCACGCCCCTCTTCGTGATCTTCCTGATGGGGCAGGCCTGGCCGCTGGGCCAGGCGGGCTGCAAGGCGGTGTACTACGTGTGCGCACTGAGCATGTATGCCAGCGTGCTGCTCACGGTCCTGCTCAGCCTGCAGCGCTGTCTCGCCGTCACCCGCCCCTTCCTGGCGCCCCGGCTCCGCAGCCCGGCCCTGGCCCGTCGCCTCTTGCTGGCGGTCTGGCTGGCTGCCCTATTGCTGGCCATCCCAGCCGCTGTTTACCGCCACCTGTGGAGGGACCGCGTATGCCAGCTGTGCCATCCGTCGCCGACCCACGCCGCCGCCCACCTGGGCCTGGAGACGCTGACTGCCTTCGTGATTCCTTTCGGGTTGATGCTTGGCTGCTACAGCGTGACGCTGGCACGGCTGCGGGGCGCCCGCTGGGGCTCCGGGAGGCACGGGACGCGGGCGGGACGGCTGGTGAGCGCCATCGTGCTCGCCTTCGGTTTGCTCTGGGTCCCCTACCACGTCGTCAACCTTCTGCAGGCGGCAGCCGCTCTCGCGCCACCGGAAGGGACCTTGGCGAGACTTGGCGGGGCGGGCCAGGCGGCGCGGGCTGGAACTACAGCCTTGGCCTTCTTCAGCTCCAGCGTCAACCCAGTGCTTTACGTCTTCACTGCGGGGGATCTGCTGCCCCGGGCTGGCCCCCGTTTCCTTACACGGCTTTTTGAGGGCTCCGGAGAGGCCCGAGGGGGTCGTTCTAGGGAGGGGACCATGGAACTCCGAACTACTCCTCAGCTAAAAGTGGTGGGGCTGGGCCGGGGCAATGGAGACCCCGGCGGCGGGATAGAGAAGGACAGTCAGGAATGGGACTCTTAAAACTAAGCCCTACAACGGGGCCTGTTCCTCCCTACCCTTTAAGTTGAGCATTTGGGGACCTTTCTCTGACTACAATTTGGGTCTGGCTGAGTAGGGTTGTTACACACCTAGGAAGGCCAGGTTCCTCCAATCTGAGGGATTATAAGGGCTATGATGGGCCACGTTAACTGACTGTAGTGTGCTTGAAGGTTGGCATGTACCCATGTGCCAAGGCTGCTTACTTGTTGCCTAAACTATTATTGTGAAATACACCAGGAAGCTATAGATGATGGCTTAAGTGTGCTCCCTCTGGAAGTTCATCATGCCTGAGTTGTGCTGAAGACATCTAGTTCTTTGCTGGGTTAGGTCAGGGCTGGGCGGAGACAGCCTTCAGTGGCATCTTGCCCTGGCTTCCCCAGCCCAGGTGCCCTGATTCTCCCAGGCCAACCCATAGAGTCATTCTGGAATTGAAGAGAAAAAAAGGAAGTGAAATCTAAAAACAGAAAAAAGAAAGAAAGAAAAAAAAGGAAGGAAAGGTGTGAGAGTTTGGAGAAGGGGTGGGAATGTGTTCTACTCTTGGGTCTGTGAAAGCCTCCAGGGGGAAGAAACTGGCTGTGCAAGGAGAAAGTCAGTCTGTGAGGTTTGAAAGGAAGGTTTTCCTGGCTGTCTTGTGGTTGGTGCTGTGGGAGAGAGGCACATAAGGAATGGACAGTGGTGTAGGGGCTCTGGGAGTCTGATCATCTGATCCTTCCCCTAAGGCCACTGGACTTGAAAAGGAACCCAGGAGCAGGTATTTGCTAATACCTGCTTCTTTCTCTCTTTTTTCTCTCTGCTAAGTCTTGATTCTTCCCAAGACTCTGCTAGCTGATCCTAATTCCCTAATACTTCTCAGCCCCCACATTTTGGAATCTACCTCTAAGTTAAAAACTGTTCTGGATCCTGACATGCTTAAGGGATGTACAATGGGATTCTTTTCAGGGAGGATCCATGTGCATATAAATCACTAAGGTGATAGGCTGATCCCACATGGTTCAAGACTTTCCCAGTTTTTCTTTTTCCAAACAAAGTCTCACTTTGTCACCCTTGGTAGAGTGCTGTGGTGTCATAGCTCACAGCAACCTCAAACTCTTGGGCTCAAGTGATCCTCTTGCCTCAGCTTCCTAAATAGCTAGGACTATAGGAACCCCCCCCCCCCACAATGCTCAGCTATTTTTAGAGACAGGGTCTTGCTCTTGCTCAGGCTTGTCTCAAACTCCTGAGCTCAAGCAATCTACCCACCTCTGGCTCCCAGAGTGCTAGGATTACAGGCATGAGCCACCATGATTGGCCTGAGTACTTTCCCAATTTTTACACTGAAAATCCCTCATCCCAGCCCCAACAGTTCCCCTGCAAACTGTGATGGTTGGTCACTAAGTGAATAGTTACCCTGACGATCATCCCAGGATCTGTGTCAATGACTATTCATACTCCCTCTAGAAGAGGCCAAGAGAGAGCAAAGGAAATCCACTCCCAGGGCCACCCAAATTGGGATTTGAGTGTAGTTCTTAGCTAGGACAGCAAGGTGTATGCTTAGAGTCCCTAGTCCTGGTCTGGGGAGCAGCTTGAGAGAGGAGGCAAGGACAACTCCGTTTTTATCTGAAGGGGCCTCTGGTTGACCCTGAGCTCTAAGCTAGAAACTTCTGTCTTCAAACACAGATTGCAGGGGCTTCTTTCTGTACTTGTGTGCTGAGGCAGATGTTCCCTGACTCGCTTGGTTACATATTCTCTGTCTCACACCCACTGTGATCAGAAAGCCCTTCCTCAACTCTGCCTTCAGTTCTTGTGGCTTCAGCCCATTTCTTTTTATTATATTCTCTGCCTGACAGCTGCTGGGTCAATGTTGCTCTGGCTTTTCTAAAAAAAGGAGGGCTCTGGAAAGGGTGAGGCACCATCAGCAGATAATGTGTTTCCCCGAAAATAAGACCTACCCAAAAAATAAGCCCTAGCAGGATTGCTATGCATTTGTTAATATAAGCCCTACCCTGATAATAAGACCTAGTGATGGGTGTGGCTATGCAGATACACTGCATAGCCACATCCTGCATTTCAGTGTGGAGCGGTAAGGAAGACTGGAATACCTTTTATCTGCCACAGCTCCTTTCTCCTTTGCACTTGGGCCGGTGTGCTTATGGTAACCACAGTCGCAGGCATCCTATTGCCCACTGTCGCAGGCATCCTGTTGTGCACGTGCGAACAGCTAGGGGAAAGGACTTCCTGCATCACTAGTGCCACCAACAAGGTCAGCTCCCCTGTCAGGTTCCAGATGACTTAACTGTATTTAAATAAATGTAGATTGTTGTATTATACTTAATAAAAATAAGGCATCCCCTGAAAATAAGCCCTAGTGTGTCTTCTTGAGAAAAAATAAATATAAGACAATGTCTTATTTTCGGGGAAACAAGGTACCATTACACCCTGCATCTTTCCTGAGAAGTGAAGAGTTGAAAGGGAAGCAGGAAGGCACATGGTCAAGTTGAAGTAAATCTTAAGTCCTTAGCTTCTGCAGGAGATTTTAAGGGAAGGAGATGTCTCTCCGTGCAGGGAAGCAGAAGGGTGACCCTTTGGAGTCTGTTTCTCTTTCCACATTGCTGGCTTTCCCTCTTGGCAGGGTGGGCATGAAGCATCTCCTGAGCTCTCCATCCTGCTCCCTATGCTCAGCCCAGCCTAGCTCAGTCTTGACCTCTGTGTATCTAAAGGAAAATTGGACGGTAGGCTGTGGGAAGGTTGGAGAGAGGTGGTGCTGAGGCAAGCACAGGGAAAGTGGTTGGGAGAAAGGGAGAAAACATTGGAATTCTGTGTGATACCAAGAAGATCATTTGGATTTTGACTTCTACCAAAGAGATTGGAGAATTGGTTGACCTGAATGGAGCCAAACCCTTGAAGTAAAGAGCAGGATGGAAGGTGCTGGAAGATCACCCTATTCTGCCAAACGACACGACAGTACTGCCCTCCTTGGTATTTACTGACATACCCTCTTTAAGCCATGATGTTACCTAATCAGAATTTAGACCCAGCCTAGTCACAGCTCTAACCTACAATTTCTATTAATCTAAAAATTGGCATTATTCACACACACAAAATAAGGATACCAGTATTCTAGCCTCTTCATCTGAACCCATTTCTCCTCTCTGGCTTCCTGCCCTCCTTCTCCTACTTCATTACAGATACAGTTCATTACTCTGTTCAGTTCTCTGTCTAGACCTGCATCTTGAGGTCAAGCCCCAGCCTACTCACTTCCCCCACCCCCTTTTCTTCTGTCACTGCCCCTTCCTGGACTCTTCTCATCTTGCCTCACCCTCCCAGAGTCCTCCTCCCCAGTGGTTTGCTCTGGAACACAAAGACTTTCCCCCTCCCAGTGGAGGGGGGGTAGGGGTTTCAGCCCCACCCTCAGGAAGATGCGGCTTTGCCTCCCCTGCCCAGTAGTACTTCCTCTCTGGCTGATGGGGCTGACAGCACCCAGACCCTGGGCAGGATCCTGGCACTGGGACAGATCCAGGGATAGGCTACACCACTCTGCCCTGATCCTGGGATTGGCACCAGCTTCTAGCCAGTACTTGGCAAAGCTCATAAGTAAGTATCCTGGGAGTGATGGTGGGGTGGTGGTGGGACAAGGTCCAGCCATGAGAGAAAGTCCAAAGGAATCTTGAAAGAAGGCTTGGCCAGTATAAACAGTTGAGGGGATTCATCCTCATCCACTAACTCCTCCCCATCACTGTTTTCCTCAGGCATATCTGGGGAGATAGGGAGAGGGGGCAGGTGACTGGAGGAAGTCAATGGGACTGAGGGGCTAAGGGCCTGGTAGGGGACAGAAGAGATAGCCTTTCAAGGGTGCAGCATTGGTCAAGGAAGCCTCCCAGATTGGTTATGAGCTTCAGGGTCTCCTAAGGAAAAGAGGCTGAAAAGGTCCGGAAATGCTGCTGCTGCTGCCGCTGCTACCACTGCATATTTTGCAATTGGGTCTGTGGGCAGGAAGGGGCCCCATGACCCAATTAGGAAACTAGTCTTTCTACTGCTTAACACAGGGGGTGATGGAGGCAGTATATTTCCAAGCCTCTGATGCTGCTGACCTTGGAGATAGATCAGAGGTCTCAGATCAGGTTCCAGGGTGTCAAGAAACTCTTGATTGACTACCCTCGTGCACATGTCCACCCTTGCTCTCCAGGACCTTTCAATGGCTACAAACACTACATCTCCTGCAGTGTCCGCCTCACTAAGTGTCAAGTTCATCTTTATGCTGGCTATCATCCTACTGTCAGTGGCACTGGCTGTGGGGCTTCCTGGCAACAGCTTTGTGGTGTGGAGCATCCTGAAAAGGATGCGGAAACGTTCCGTCACTGCCCTGTTGGTACTGAACCTGGCCCTGGCTGACCTGGCCGTATTGCTCACTGCTCCCTTTTTCCTCCAATTCCTGGCTCAAGGCACCTGGAGGTTTGGAGTGGCTGGCTGCCGCCTGTGTCACTATATCTGTGGAGTTAGCATGTATGCCAGTGTCCTGCTGATCACAGCCATGAGTCTGGACCGCTCGCTGGCGGTTGCCCTCCCCTTTGTGTCTCAGAAGCTTCGCACCAAAGTGATTGCTAGGAGGGTGCTGGCAGGTATCTGGGTGATGTCCTTTCTGATGGCCACACCCGTCCTCGTGTACCGCACGGTGATCTTGGCATCGAACAACAGGAGCCTGGTGTGCTCTTTGAAGTACGCCAACGAGGGCCACAGGGCCTTCCATCTGCTCTTCGAGGCCATCACGGGCTTCCTGCTGCCCTTCCTGGCGGTGGTGGCTAGCTACTCCGATATTGGGCGCCGGCTGCAGGCCCGGCGTTTCCACCGCAGCCGCCGCACCGGCCGCCTGGTGGCGCTCATCATCCTGGCCTTCGCCGCCTTCTGGCTGCCCTACCACGTGGTGAACTTGGCCGAGGCTGGCCGCGCGCTGGCCGGCTACCCTGCTGGGTCCGGGCCCACGGGGCAGCGGCTGAGCCTGGCCCGCAACGTGCTCATCGCCCTTGCCTTCCTGAGCAGCAGCGTGAACCCGGTGCTGTACGCGTGCGCTGGCGGCGGCTTGCTACGCTCGGCCGGTGTGGGCTTCGTCGCCAAGCTGCTAGAGGGCACAGGCTCCGAGGCGTCCAGCACCCGCCGCGGGGGCACCCTGGGCCACACCGTGAGAGTTGCGGCCGCCGCCGCCTCTCCAGAGCCGGGCCCCACCGAGGGAAGCGAACTAAGCTAGGATTGGGAAGGACGCTTGCTTTTCTCCCAGCGCAGTGACCCCTGCGCTGGGCTGACACAATTCTGTAGGCGCAAGAGGAGCAGGAGCGTGGGAGAGCTGGGTGAAGCTGAGGAAGAGAGAGGGATCGGGCGTGTGAGGACAGAGTGAGAGCTGTACTCCAGCTAGCCTCCAGCTGCAGCTTTATCATTCAAACTGAAGTCTGAAATCGGGTCAGCCCTGAATGTGGAGCAAGTTTTATGGGGTATTTGCAGGCGCCCAGAAGGAGTTCCTCTCAGTAGGGAGAGTCACACCCTTTAGTTCCCCATGATTTACAATTGTGGAAGAGATGCAGAGACAGAAACCCCCTCCCTCGATTCTGAGGTACATGGTCTACAGATCTTACTTGGAAAAACACAGTTTACAGAATCCTAAAGGAGCTTGTCTAGGAAGGCCACCCCCGTAGGATTATCACTCCAGACTCTGTGACTCACTGGATCTTCTGAGAAAACTCTGCTGTGAGCAGTCTTCCCTGAAGCCTCTGATAAATATCCCTGTTAACATGACTCCAACTTCGTGCCCACAATCTTCCTCTTTTCAGGCAGGGATGGGGAACCTGCGGCCTTCCGATGTCAAGATTGTTCTTTTTTAAACACCGAAGGAGTCAAGAAAAGCTTCATCTTTGTCTGCTGCACCCCCTTTAATAAAAGGATTTGTTCTGCAAAATTTGGATTCAGTCAAAAGGCCTCACTTAAGGCTTTACCCTTCTTCCCTCCATCTGGCAAGAAGGGTTCACTTGAGGACCAAGTCACCATATCTTATCCCCTGCACATCAGTATCTGCCAGTCCCTACAACACACCCTGGCACAGGCTGGGGCTGAGGACCCTCTGTGGCCATGGTCATCTCTGGGAAACAAAGATACCTATAGGAGAAGGATAAGTTATTGTTTCCTAGGGATGACTGTTACTTTAGAGAACTTTGGCTCAGTTATGTTCTGACAAATTTTAGGAAGATGGCGGTAGCAGTGGCAGCAGTGTGCTTTGTGAATCTTTCCCATAAAAATATGAAAGATCCCAACCAGAGATCCATGTGCAACATGCAACAAACCTAGGATGTCAAGATATCACCCAGGGGCCCAAAATATGAGTTCATGAGACTGAAGCATCGATGCTTCAAGACCCACTTAATATATCAATATCAGTGCAGAAGGATGCAAAAGAAAGCAGGGACACAAAACACCCAGCAGGTGTTCTCTGATGGGCCTGAGAACAAGAGAACCCCGGCCTGTCTATAGGTCCTCACTGGAAAGCATGGTGGGCCAATCTGAGAACCCCAGTGAAACTGGGAGGGACCTTATAGATTATCTTCCAGGCCTCTTGCCCATTCAGCATAGTAAGCACCTAAATGTGCTTCTTTAGTGTTTGTTGAATGAATAATAATCAAATGACATTTCCCTGGACAATATTGGTGGGTAGGGGACAAGAAAGGAAAATCCTTGTTTGAGTCATGTAGCTAAATTCTTTATGCTTCTGAGGTATATAGAATGGTGGAATCAGGTTGGTAGGGAGGCAGGGAGCTTGAGATAGCCCTCTTCTTGAGCCTGTGAGAAGAATCACTTCTTTTGCTGCATGCATGCAGACACATGCACACACACACACTCTCTCTCACTCCTCACTCAATTTGGTTGGCCTAGGAAAAAGTCGTCCTGCTGAGGGGCAAGGAGAAGGTGATCCACAGTGGTATTAGCACCTCATCAACTGGCTCCAGGTATCCCAGAGTCTGTTTATTGAGAATCTTAGAGGGGAGCAGGGCTCTCAGCCTAGGGTGGCTGAGGGAGGTCCAGTTCGTGCCAAGTCTGTGTTTAGGAAGTATGTGCAGAGCTGTCCTTTGCCTTTGACCTTGATGACACCTCGGCTGTAGCAAGTGTAGCCCAGAGACTGCAGGGCCCGGGCTGTCTCTTCAGTCACCTACAATTAGAGGAGGCATGAGGGAGTATGGGGGTGGCCCTATCTTTCTCTCTCCTCCCCCCATGCCTCCCATGTGTCGCCCTCACTTGGATCTTGCCAAGGACTCCTGTACTCTCCATGCGGCTGGCCACGTTCACTGTGTTGCCCCAAATATCATATTGTGGTTTCTGGGCTCCAATCACTCCAGCCACTACTGGTCCGTGGTTCAACCCTGATAACATGTGTGGCAATGAGGAACCCTGATGAAGGGAACTTTCAGGAGGAAGAGGAAAATAGGGGGAGCTCAAGGAACTGGGGAGAAGGGAGAAGGGCCTAGGGGCCTTAGAGGAGAAAAACAGTAGTAAGGCTGGAGGAGTGTGGCTTAGGGAAGGTGGCAGCCTCACAGCTCCTGGGTCAGCATCTTCATGGCCCATCCCAGGGAGTGAGTCAGGACAGGAAGTCCAGGGATGAGCTGGCAGGAGCTAACAAAGGACTGGGAGTGGGAAGAGCTTGGGAAAGTGAGGAGATACCAGATGGCCCCAGTAGGGGAGGGTCCTCACCCACACGAAGGCGAAAGTTGTTGAATGAGTGCTTGTTGATGACGTCCAGCTTAGACCCCAGGGCTACTGCAAATTCCACCATGGTGCCAAGGTGGCTGCAGCTCCTCTCACCATCCTGGCAAGGGACCCCCCCGGAATTAATTAATGACATCCCAGGAATAAGTCCCACTTATGGGCTCCCCATCAGTAAGGAGAGGGTTGGCTGGTGGAGAAGGGTTGCTGTACCTGTTGTGAATCCTGTCCAGAGGTGGCATTTAAGCCTGTGGCTGCCATGTAAGTGCTGCAGATGGTTTTGATCTTCTCCACTCCACTGAACTTGGGCTTGGAGAGCAGCTGCGTAGAGAAGAGCCAGTACCAGTTTCTTGTGTTCTCTCCCTCCCTTCTCCCAGAATGCCAGCCCCCCGCTTTGACCACTAAAGGACCAGGCTGTGGGAGTGAAGATAAGGGCAGGAAGGAGAAAGGTGGCGGTGGGCATGTTGCTGGAGATGGTAGAGTCGGGGGATGAGAAGGAGAAAGGGTTATTGGCCTCATGGCCAGGAAAGCAAAGTGGAAGGAGAGACTGGTGGGAAATTCTAGAATCTAGGATATAGAGTCTGGCAGATCCTTGGCGTTGTCACCTCATCAAAATCGGCAATTATCTCATTGAGCAGCCGCAAACACTCTAGCCCCTCGTGGTTGATGTCAGATTCAGAGTAAAACTCCTTGAATTCTGGGACCGAGGCGAAGAGGACACAAACACACTCATAGGACTGGTGGTAGAGGTCCTGGAGGGCAGAAGACTGGAGTGAGGGGTGGACAAAATCCTCCCCCATGGGGATGCATAGGGCTAGTCCTTCTGTTTAGGAAGACTTGGGAGGGAGGGAGAGGAGTAGGGCCTGGGAACCCCAGGGATGTGACTCAGAAGTCAGGATTGGATCTCATTGGAATTCCAGGAGAAATAGAGGCTTGGGGTCAGGATCACCTGACAGCAATGAGCAGGGAATCACTCCTAGAACTGGGATCACGTCAATGAAAATTATTTTATATCCTATCTTATTGCTGAAAGGTGTTAAGTCAGCTTACAAAGATAGCTGCAATATGGAAGATGAAATAAAGCAACATTAGGGAATATGGGGCAAGGAGAAAATACAGGTAAGAAGATAAAGATGGAATCAGATAAATGATATCCAAGGATGTATCATAAAGTGGGTGTCATTGTCAATCCTAGACTCTAGCTCTGAGCTTTCTAGCAACCACTGTGAAGAAAGAAACAGAATCAGTTACAAGATCCCCTGTGTCTATCAAGGAAGAAACCAGAAATAGAAGTAATCCTGATCTTAAGAGCAGAGCAGGTGGTGGGAGATAGTCTATGAAATAGCCCCTAAAAGAGTGCTTCTTTTAATACCCATGGATATAGGCCAAGAGCAATTCCATAGCAGAGGGAGCCAAGTGTGGTGGTACAAATATGATGGTACAAATATGTAGGTGATTTCCTGATGGTTTGACTAGAGCAAGATTTTTTTTTTTTTTTGAAACAGAGCCTCAAGCTGTCACCCTGGGTAGAGTGCCGTGGCATCACAGCTCACAGCAACCTCTCCATCTGCACTGCTTAATATGGTGGCCACTAGTCACAATGTAGCTGTTGAGCACTTGGTATGTGGCTAGTGCAACTAAGGAACTGAGTTTTTATTTTAATTGACTCATATTTAAACTTAAATGGTCACATAGTGGTAAATGGCTACCATATTAATAGGACAGTGTAGGTCTAGAGGGATGAATAAACTATATCTTCCAGACAATTCCCATCAACACTTGACTAAGCTTCTGGGAAGTATGGCGTGGCCATGAGTTAAAGACACTGTATCCCAGTAAGAATTAGAAATGCAGAAATTCATTAGAATTGCAGAAATTCACCAAAGACAGAGGCTGAGATCTTGTAAAAACAAAAGCACCTGACAGGGATAAGGACTTAGGCGACCCAGTATGGGGGAGTCCAGGGAGGATGGGCCATAGGCCAAAATGTTCTTTGGAAACTAGTCTCTATTGCTTCTGGGGCTCAGGAGTCAGGGGGCAGGAGTCACCTCATTGCGCCGATTCTGGCCAATGAACTGGGGAGCCACGTGTGCAGGGAGCACATTTTCCAGGAGCAGCCGAGTCAGGTTCTCCATTGTCTCTGTTTCCTCCCGCTCCTGCCTCAGCTTCTTCTTCCACAGAAAGTCCAGGCGGCAGTAATACTCATTCTGGGGAGGGCCACCAGTAGTGAAAGGGGGGGCATAGTGCAGAGGAGTCTCCTGAATATTCATCCCCATGCTCACCGTGCCTGAAATCACCCCCCACCCTCAGTTTAGAGACAGGGTTAAAGTGCAACCATCCTTGGAGAGAGGCTACTCTTGAAACTAGATTCAAACCAGGGGCACAGAATTGGCAGCAGGCATTTTCTTAAGCGTGAGCTTTCCCTGATTGGGGTATGAGAGAAAAGGGGTGGGAGAACTTGGGCATGCCCCTTGGGGAGTGGAGGAGAAAGAAAGGGAGCAGGAAGCTCCCAATGGGCACACCACTTGGGCTCATCTCTGGAGATGAGCGAGTCCAAGTCACAAATATGGGGACTCCAGACTCACCACTCACAGGGAGGCTCTGGAGGGCTGAGCTGGATGACTTACCTGCCGAGCCAGGATGAGGAGGGTGAAGAAGAAGATGAAGAAGGAGATAGCTCCCATCAGTTTGGGCTCCTTCAGCACTCCGGGCCTGCGGGAGCCATGGGTCGGGATTGCCAATTGCTGTGCCCCTTCCTGATGGCTTCCTCCATGCCCCTAGCACCCACATAGGTCTTAGCCTCCCTCCCACTTTGTCC